TTACGTTGAAGATCATACTTCTGACGGTAAACTCCTGCACAATATCTCTCGCTTCATCTGTATGTCAGTGCAACCTTTTTCTTGATGATGTCACATTTGATGTCATTACAGGGGTCAAAGTGCGGGTATATTGTCAAGTCGGTAAGGCAGACCAAGGGAAGTTTGCTTTGCACGTTGCTGTCAAGACACTTGAATTGTACAAAGAGTATGTGTCAAAGTTACCAATCATTCATATCCAAGTTGGCAATTGCTCTTGATGCATGTTATCAACTAAAAGTAGCAGTTTCTCTAGATTTTTTTTTTTTTCCTTTTCGTACTTATGCTGCATTACATTCCATTCAATATGAACTTATTGATGAAGTTCTGCAGTTACTTTGCCGTGCCATACCTGTTGCCCAAATTGGATATGATTGCAATACCTGATTTTTCTTCCGGTGCCATGGAGAATTATGGTTTAGTTACATACCGAGAAACAGCTTTGCTTTTTGATGAAAAACATTCTGCAGCTGCCAACAAGCAAAGGGTAAAATGCGAATCCTGAATGTTACTGCTTTCAGAATTTATCTTGGTGAATATGGTAGGGGAGTATAGTCTTTGCACCCAACAATACGTTTAATCACTCTATTTGGTTTTGGTAAAAGGTTGCGACTGTCGTGGCACATGAATTGGCACACCAGTGGTTTGGCAATCTTGTAACTATGGAATGGTGGACGCATTTATGGCTGAATGAGGGATTTGCAACATGGGTATCACTTCATATCATTGCTATAATTGTTAGTTGTTAGTTTCCATGCTTTTGTACTTAAAAAGTAAGTATTTTAATGTCATTAGGTGAGCTATTTAGCTACTGATAGCTTGTTCCCAGAGTGGAAAATATGGACTCAGTTTCTTGATGAACTCACTGCTGGTCTTAAGCTGGATGGGCTTGAAGAATCTCACCCCATTGAGGTACTTATTTGTGAACCTGGTTTTTCATGGGTTTCATTTTAATTTTTATTTCCTGAAGTTTCCTGTTTCCTAGCATCGAATCTTGATCATCTGCATAGAAGGCTTTAAATAGTAATGTTCATCACTATAGTTTTCAAGGTGTTATTAATTGGAGAGTATTAATGTATATATGTCTCTCTGGTATATTATGGTTTAATCTTTTTTCTTTTTGGCCAGGTGGAGATCAATCATGCTGCTGAGGTTGATGAAATATTCGATGCAATAAGCTATAAAAAAGGTGCTTCTGTTATTCGGATGCTACAAAGCTATTTAGGTGCTGAAGTCTTCCAGGTATGTTCTTTGATTTGTAAGCTAGTGTGCTTGAAGGTTGAAGGAACTATCTTATTTTCTAGGATATAAAAAAGTTACAGAGTTAATTGCATGCTACTTTTTAATGCATCCAGAGGTCACTTGCTTCATATATCAAAAAGCATGCTTACTCAAATGCAAGGACAGAAGATTTGTGGGCTGCCCTTGAGGAGGGATCTGGTGAACCTGTAAACGAGCTAATGAATTCATGGACACAGCAAAAAGGTTACCCGGTTATTTCTGTCAAAGTCAAAGATCAGAAATTGGAGTTTGATCAGGTATCCTTATGTTTGCTTCTTTCAAAGTTGTTTGATTATCAAAGGAACTTCTGAAAGAACCTCTCGAGCTCTAATGCATGTATAAGCTTTTAAGTCATTAGTTTATGTTTTAATCCATGGTACAAGGACACGAAAAAAATCTATTAAGTAAATTAATGTATGGCAGACACAATTCTACTCAAGCGGTTCCCAAGGCGATGGGCAATGGATTGTGCCGATCACATTATCCTGTGGCTCGTACAATGTGTGCAAGAATTTCCTACTACAAGCGAAGTCTGAAACTCTTGACATAAAGGAATTTCTGGGTTGCTCAATAGGAAAGGCTGGAGGCACAAGCAACAAAGACAATGCATTATTCAGTTGGATAAAAGTCAATGTGAATCAGACTGGTTTTTACAGAGTGAAATATGAGGATGAACTTGCAGCTGCACTTAGAAACGCTATCGAAAAGAAACAATTGTCTGAAACTGACAGATTTGGTAATCATCATTTCGTACATTTGCTTGTTTAACTCTTTGATAGTGAAAGCTTTCATCAAATTTTTATTTTTCCTTTCACAGGCATATTGGATGATTCATTTGCCCTGTCAATGTCTCGCAAGCAGTCTTTTGCTTCATTGCTTACCTTGTTGAGTGCTTACAGAGAGGAGCTTGACTATATCGTTCTGTCAAATTTGATTACTGTAATGATCTTCCCTGCATTGTGTTTATGTCACTGCATCTATAGCCTTGGCCTGATTCCGGTCCTCACTTTTCACAGATAAGTTATTATCTGGCAAGAATTGCAGCCGATGCTGTACCCGGACTACTGGATCACATTAAACAATTCTTTGTTGGACTTTTCCAGTATTCCGCAGAGTAAGCTTGTTCTTTTCTTAACAAACTCAAATACCTACGTAGATAATCTGTCATGATCCACAAGATTTGCTTCTATCTTGTTCTCTTGTAAACATGAATTTCCTGAAATTTCGATGTCTACATCTTTAATTTTTTTTAAAGTTTATCATTTATGGTGGAATTTCTTTACAGGAGGCTTGGTTGGCAGCCTAAACCCGGCGAAAGCCATTTAGATGCAATGTTGAGAGGAGACGTTTTGAATGCGCTTGCTGTTTTTGGTCATGACCTGACGTTAGATGAAGCAAGTAGGCGTTTTCATGCCTTTTTAGAAGACAGAAACACGCCCCTCCTTCCCCCTGACATTAGAAAGGTTGCTTTGATGCAAATCGTTAGTTAAATTACACATACGTAATTAACCTTTTAAGTTCATCGTTGATGCTAATTATGGACTACTGTTGCAGGCAGCATATGTGGCTGTAATGCAAAGAACAAGCGTATCTAACCGATCAGGCTACGAATCTCTTCTTAGAGTCTACAGAGAGAGTGATCTAAGCCAGGAGAAAACCCGCATTCTAGGTAAATATAAGTAAATAGGAAAATAATGCTGAACGTAGAGGCTGTTAGATTGTAGCAGTAATCAATGTGTCTGTGCCTGTAGGTTCTTTAGCGTCTTGTCCTGATCCCAATATTACACTGGAGGTTCTCAACTTTATATTGACTCATGAGGTATTTCAGATTTTCTTTCTCTTAATTGGAGGTTGAAGTTTTACTTATTAGTAATAATTTTGAGAATTCAAAGCTTGATGATATATGACTTCAATGCCCGTCTACGCAGGTTCGCAGTCAGGATGCTGTCTTTGGGCTTGCTGTTAGTAATGAAGGTCGGGAAACAGCTTGGAAGTGGATGAAGGTACCTCTCTTACCAATTTTGCGACATACTACGAAATGTTCCCACTTTCATGGATTTTGTCTTTCTTTTTCCCACATCCGTTACTATGATTCATTCTTTTCATTTGGATTGCCCGAAACACAGGATAACTGGGAGCACATCTCAAAGACCTGGGGGTCTGGATTTCTAATCACTCGCTTTGTCAGTTCAGTTGTTTCACCGGTTCGTTCTTTCTTTCACTATAAACTTTCCTTCTTATCCTCGAGGTCTTTTTGTTGTGCAACTTAGATTTCTAACGCCTTATCATTTCCTTCTACCTTCCCCTGCAGTTTGCTTCGTTTGACAAGGTTAAGGAAGTAGATGAGTTCTTCAAAGCCCATCCCAACGTGGCGATAAGTAGAACCTTGAAGCAGAGCATTGAGCAGGTGCAAATCAACGCCAAGTGGGTTCAGAGTGTTCAGAGCGAGAAAGACCTTGCCGATGTCGTGACGGAGTTGGCTGCTGCTGTTTTCTAACGAGAAGATCATCTCTGGGAATGTATTTCCAAGCTTATGTAACTTAAATTTGCCAAAACAAAGAATAAAGAGACATAATGTAAATACTGTAAGTACCTAGTTTGCCTTCAATATGACTTGCTCTCATGAAAAATGCAACCAGTACTTAGAGAGATTTTTCAATGCACCGGATACATGTTCTGGTATACTAAGTGTTATAAGTGGTTGGATACTTAAAAAAAAAAAAAAAAAATTTATAACCAGTCTTCACTTCAAAACTCCTCCATTACTTGAATCTCATTTTACCTATTATAAGATTGGGGGTTGATAACACCAAGTATTGCTGTTACGGTCACATCAAGTTACCCCGCTTGATTGGACAGGGCACATCAGAAACGCAGGAACCACCAAAATTGCAGTTCCCTTTCCGCTTGCAGACCAACCCGAGTGATTCTATCAACCTTAAGGAGTACGGAGATTAGAGGAGCTTCAACTCACAGATTATACGCCTCTGTATGCTTCCCTCAACGCATACGAACACCACGAAGCATAGGAGTAAGATTTCTCTCCTTTTTTGTCCCTTCCCTTCCCTTCCCTCCTAATTGAACGATCACGGTTAAGTCACATTAACATCTTATATTAATTTTTTTTATAACAAGAGAAAGACAAAATAAGAAAATGTGAAAAGAGGGGACGGAAGGGGATGGAAAGAGGATGGGGGAGAATCCTAGTCCCGAAGCATAGACATGAGGTATTGACATCCTTGGTTTTCAATTTTACAAATTGGAAGGACAAATGGTGTTGGATTTTGAAGTTTATTTTGCCATATTATACTGTTGTTATTCTGATCATATATGAAGACTTCTTGACTGATAAATGTGGATGGGTTAATTGGTATCTTGCGGGAAAATTTGTGAAAAAAAGATTGTTATGCATTGGAACTGTTTGAGAAAATGTCCGAGAGAGCGAGTGAAGACCAAATGGAAATATCCGACCAGAGAGACCTCTATAATTTCGAGAACACTAATTGTATCTGGAATTCCTGTAGCTGCACAATTGTTGTTGAGCTTTTAGCAAGTCAATTTCCAGGTATCTCTGCTACTTTTCACCAATATGCTACAAGTGGACCACAAGTTGCGGATGAGCTTTTCCAATTTAAAAATGTGGAGTTCGATCATATCAAGGGCATTGAGAATTTGGGGGTCAGATGGATAGCACATTAGCACTACCAACTGCTTCAATCTTAATTCTCTTGTTTGATGGAATGTCTAAGAGACATAATTACAACTGGAATTCTCGTAGCTGCTCATATGCTGTTTGGAATGCTCCTATGCGATGTGGAATGCACAAACTTATGCATCATTTGGTGTTGCAAATTCATGACCATGATTGGCACCCCATTGGTGATACGAAGTCAATTAAAGCAGAAGTGAAAGTGTCTGTGGGAATTGGTCATGGAGGGTACACTATTCTTTGGTGGGTGCTGTGGAGGATGAAAGCTATAGGAATCACAACTTCTTTTGCAAAAGCACCAATGGAATTTGTTCATGGAATTCAAAACTTGTGGACTTCACAGCCTCCTCCAAAAATTCGGTATGCAGCTCTTGTGATTGGTACCTCATTTATTATTGAAGGTGCTTCTCTTCTTGTTGCCATACAAGCTGTCAAGAAAGGTGCAGCTGCTGAGGGCATGAAGTTGACAGACTTTATATGGCGCGGACATGATCCCACATCTGTTTCAGTCTTGACGGAGGATGGCGCAGCTGTAACTGGTCTTGCTATTGCTGTGGCTTCATTGGTTGCAGTGAATAGAACAGGAAATGCACTTTATTGGAAAATATTTTGAATTTGATGTATGGAATTTACTATTTTTCTTTGTTATTTGAAAATTTGTGTGGTTTTCAAATTTTCAATAGGTATAAATATGAGAAAAGTTCAACAAACAAACCAAGATTCGTCAAATTTTTTATGGGAAGTGTATTTTTTTTTCTAAATATAGAAAGTTTAGAGTGTAGAATGAGAATTTTGAAGTGCCAATAACAATTCCCTTTTTTTTTTCCTTTTTCTTATCTAGTTCAGTACCAAACACAGTATAAATAATACGGTCATTAGTTTGATACTGCAACAAACATCAATACTATCCGGTGACTATTTATCTTATCCAACAGAAACAGTTAGTACATTCCGAGCTACCAAACAAGACCAATGTTACGGTTCTTTCTACTTACATTTTTGTTTAAGAGGTGATTTTCGCATTATCCTTTTCCTCTGCCCTCATTCTTCGCGAGTAAATTTAAGAAAAATCAACAATAAGACGATAAAAACAATGAGATGAGTACAGAAGGAGAAAACGGCAGCGTGAAAATCCCTTTTTTGTTCATGCAAGATCATTACAAGTGGCAAGCAAATTCCAAATTTAGTAATTTTATAAGCACTAAGATTGAAATAACAGATAAAGTAAATACCTCACTGAGCTTTTTCTTTTAACTCGGAGGCATAATGAATACAATTTAAAAGCATCACACCGCCACCACATTCCCATTTTCTTCCTTCTACAAAGCAGCTGCGATTTACACAGCCACACCTCGGCACAGTGTACAGCAAATGTTCTACGGTACACACAGACTGCGTGCGGTTCGGATCAAACAATGAAGCCCGGGCGAAAAACAAACGGGCAACACGATAAATCAGATCATACGAAAGTTTTTATAACAGACAGCTACAGATCAAATGGGAGATGAAGGAACCGATCATGTTTTGCTTTTAAACTTCCTTTGAGCTTTCAAATCTACCACAATTACAGTAATGTTGTCCTTACTTCCTTTTTGAAGGGCACGGTTTGAAAGAAACTCCGCGGCTGCCTGGGCAGCAGGATCAATTCCTATGCCTCTTTCCTGCGGAAGTCCATCTGCGCCATTCTTCTTGTGCCAGAGGAGTATTCTTCTCCGAGCAAGGTCACACACTTCTTCGTTTGACATAACGTCCCATAAACCATCACTGGCTAAAATTAGGCATTCGTCATCTTTTGTTCGGGGAATAAACATCACTTCTGGTTCTGGAATGATCCACGGTTTTAAATATCTATCGCCTGCAAACCCAAAACAAAAGTTGAAATTCAACTTTACTGTTGAACTGCTCAAGCTTTAGAGTAGGACATAGCTTTCTATGTACTTTGGTCACCGAAACGTCTTTGTGCGTCTAAATGTACCATCATATTTGGACCTAGCATCAAATATATTGTATATATAGCATTCGGTGAAGTACTACAAAGGTTTCTACGAGAATAGCACCCAGTTGAGAAATAAAAAACCATGGTGAAGCACATACCTATAGACCTTGACATAGCAAGAACTCCAAACACACGATGGCCATTCCATTGTATGACCTTGCCTCCAGCTGCTTCAATCCTTGCATATTCGTCTTCCCGATTTGGCTACAACCGATTTTACCATACACGGTAATTTACGACAAAATACAACACATGCACATCAGTTTCCACAATCAGTAATAAACTATACGATACAAGACTTCAGTTAGCGAATGTCTTACTTTATGATCCACTGACAACGCCATGGGTTCTTTACCACGACACAGAACTGCTCTCGAATCTCCACAGTTTGCTACTATGATATGAGACGAGCAAATAAGGGCAACAACAGCAGTGGAACCAACAGTTTCTGGGGCGATGGGCTCAAGACCAGCCTTCCCTCCAATCTCAGTATCAACCTTAAGAAAACAATTCGTAAATGCATTTGTCCATTGCACTTGGCAATTGTCTTTGATACTTACATGAACTAGGCCTTCCTTAACAGATTCTATCTCTTCAACCAAAGCCAAATGAACGCGATCACGACAATAGTTTGCAACCTAAACAAAATTAAAGCCGATTCCATGAAAATAAAATACAGGTAGAAAGACATTATGCGCATGTTATGCAGAAGGAAAAAGTTGCCCACGGAACACGTAAGGATTAGGAAATGATACCTGAGAGCCTCCATGACCATCATAGACTCCAAAGAAATGCACAGTTTGGTGTAAACACTTGCTCAAGCCATCAAGTATGCGGTCACCAATCAGCATTTGAATTGGAATCTTCAAAAATTGTGGTATAGCGGCAAGTGCATCTTCCATCTCTGGTCTTCTTCCAATCACGGATGTAAACCCCCAAAGTGGCACATAGTCTACCTCAAAAACACTGCGGCTGACTGTTTCTTTGGCCCCCGTTTCCACAGGTAATTGATCAACAACTGCAGATGGCTTTGGATCAGACCCATCGCCAATGTCTTCCTCAGGGTTCCCCGTCACAGCAAGGGAGTCACTTGTGATCTCTGTCTCAAAATTTGAATCACCTAAATCTGTAGCCTTATCGACAACATCAACACAGCAAATGCTCTGCTCCGTGTCTACAGAACTCAGACTGCCTGCATCAGGACCAATCTCGTAGACGAGGAAGTCCTCTAAACACAAGCTACTTGACTCACTCGCCACCGAGACTGAACAAAAGCTATCAAAAACCTGATCGCCTTCCAATGATAAAGAATCATCGTCCTCACTCTCACGGCCTACCAAATCAGCAGAAGAAACCCAATTGCTTTTGTCTTGAGATATCATATCCAACAAAGGAGCTCCTCCTCCCTTGTCCTCTTTCAGTGCAGAAACTACTCCGAAATTATCATTACCTGAGCAACTACAATTACAATCCTCTTCACCAGCTGCAACTGTCTCACTGGAACCCATGGTGACAGAACCAGATACAAACCCCGCCGTGTTTTTCATTAGCTTAAGTCTTGTGATATCGATATGGGCAGCTATGGTTGGGTTATCACAGACTGAGTTACCTACTCTAAATGGCAACGCGACTGCCGGAGACATATCCTCCATCAAAATCCTTATCTGGGCAGTACAAAAAGTTACCCTCCAATCCCTCCAACATCACACAACCTGTCATTTCTCAATTAATCTAAGACTTTCTCCCTCTATTGAGAATGATTTCGGAATGTGAACGGTGGGTTCTAACGGGCCATTTTCCATGCCTGAGGGCACCTGAATAAAGGCAAAAAGACGGTGCAAAATTCAGGAGATGTGAATGTATGGATGAGCTAAAAAGGGTGGTGGAAAATGAAATGGGTAATCAGATCTGGTCAACAACAATGGATCCACACTTCCATTTTTGGAAATTGAACTTTAATATTACTAAATTGACAGGTTTTGAGCCCTTTTCAACTTCTTCTCTTCACTCTTCTCATCAACTACAACCCAGAAAGATACAAGCTTTAAATGCACAAATGAAAAGAAAAAAACTGTAAAATTAGAAAGAAAAAAAGTACAAAAATCAGATTAAATTTAGAACCAACCACTTATCAAAGCACAAGAAAGAAAAAGGAAAGAAAAGGAGGTCATGAGAAAGAAACCCAACAAAGGCAAAGCCCCAAGAGTCACAGGAAAACCCAACCCTATCAAAGAAAGCAACTTTTTCCCATCAATATTAACTTAGACTTCCCTGGATCTGAGGCAACCTATCTCTGCCTCTTGTAATTCAACTCTCTCTCTCTCTTCTCCCCTCCCTCTCTCTCTACAAATAATTATGACAATTATTAAGCAGGAAAAGCAAGAAGGTAAAAGAAGAAGAATCACTACCAAATATGTCAACTGTGTAGTCTTTCCTTCCCTCCCTCCTTTCCCTCCCTCTCTCTATACTTTATTTAAACAGCTGAAATCCATGAAAAGGATCAAAGAAATCAAGAAAACAAGATATGAGAAGCTTACCAATTAAAAAACCCAGCTCAAAGATGACTGCTTTAATATTAATAAATGTAGCTGGAGAGAGTTGAGACCTGCAAGCGCGAGAAAGGGAGTGGAGAAAGAAATATACCAGAAAAAGCAAAAATAATAAGAAATAATGGAGATAAAAAGGAGAAGAGAGAGACAGGGAAGTGTATTTGAAGAGTGAGAAAAAGGTGACACATGTCAAATCTTGAAGAGCATATTAAAGCATCTCCACCCATCCCATGATCCTTCCCTTTTCATTCTCTAATCCTACATTATTATTTTTTTAGTACAATGATAAATTTTATACTAGAGGAATAAGAGTTTGGTTAAGTCACACAATAGACAATCTAATTTGGAATTGAATTCTCTATCTACGAGATTTAAACTTAAAATCTCTCACTTACAAGTGAAAAAAAATATCACCAAATCGTAGTACTGAGTAACTCTAAAAGGAAAATGCTTCAAAGGATTTTTTTTACTTTTTTTATTTTTATAAATCTGTAAATTTTTGTTAATAAGAGGGAGGATCTTTCTCTGGTATGTCTTATCTTGTTTGCGTGTGTTGTCCTAATTAAAAAATTTTGTTATAAATTTCTTTTTGTTTCCTCCAATGGTTTTATATGTTTTTACAAGGGGCAGAAATCCCTTCATTAATGTTGGCGGATCTCATGAGCATCAATGGTTATGAATTCCAACTAACTTACCATAATATATTCTTGAAAAAATTAGGTTGTCATTTCTCTTTTTTCTACTACATTGATTAAAACTTTATTCTTTTTCAATTTTTTATTAAGGTCTTAGGTTTTAATAAACGCCATTAATTATTTCAATGACAAAATATTTTTTTATTTCTAAATATATTCATTTAGTTTGTACCCATTTTTAATTTGCAATCCTTTTTTAATTTGTACCAATCTTATTTTTAGTTTTAATTTGTACCCATATATATATATATATATATTTTTTTTTTGTGCCCATATTTTTTAAACTTTTATTTGTATTTGTACCCATTTTTTTTATTTTATTTGTACCCATTTTTAATTTTTCTAAATGTACCCTTGTTAATTATATGTATTC